AACAACTGCAAGAATTACCTTCATCACTTTATGTTTCAACCTAGAACACAGATGAAACTAGCAACTGTGAAAATTCTTTTAAAATTCTTCATCCTGTGTAACTTACCCTTGGTTTAGAGTAACATCTAGCTGGCATGTACTGAGCACTTCATGCCAAGTTCTGTGCTAAACATATAAACCCATTGGCTTCACACAATAGCTATCTGAGGTAAAAATGTTCCCTCCTGTGTAGACAAAACAAGTGAAGCTCTGTCCCCTAACAAAAAGCCTCACTTTCTGTTATGGCTTCAATGTCTTCCCTAAAGGTTTATGTGTTGTAATATTGGGTCCCAATGTGGTTATATGAAAACTGATGAGGCCTTTAAAAGGTGGAAAGTTTATGGGGCTGCCACCCTCAAAAGCAATTAGCATAATTCTCAAGGAACTCTGGTTTCTTTTCAAGAGAGGGTTGTTATAACAAGGACTTCAGTTAGTTTTCCATGGCCACTTCCCACTGTCTGGCTTCCTGTCCTATTTTGCCATGTGATCCTTCTCACATGTTCCCCATCATGATATCATCTGTCAAGATATAATATAGTCAGAGAGACCCTCACCAGAGTCAATGCCGTCTGTTTCAATGTTTTGCCTCCAAACCTAAGAGATAAATAAGCTCCTTTTCTTTATAAGTTATCCAGGCTCCAGTAGTTTGCTATAGCAATGAAAGAAGGGCTAATGCAGCCCCTATCTGGAAGTCCTGTCTACAGAGCTCTCTTTAACTCTGTCCTTTTAACCATTTACCCCGTTGCCTTTCAGGACCCCTCAATTACCAGCCTAGGGTGCTGCTATAATCTATGGGGAGTTCTTATCCCGTGCCTACTCATTCTCTCTCTCTCTCTCTCTCTCTCTCTCTCTCTCTCTCTCTCTGTCTCTCTCTCTCTCTGTCTCTCTCTCCCTCTGTGTGTGTATATGTGTGTTTACATGTAGGTCAGTGTGTTTGTGTGGATGCACATGTGTGTACTGGTGTGCATGCACGTGTGAGGGTGAGGACAGAGGTCAACCTCAAGTACCTCAGGCATCATCCAACTTGTTTTTTGCAACAGTCTCTCAGTGTCCTGGAGCACACCAAGTAGATCAGTCTAGCTGGCCAGTGAGCACTGGGGAACCTGCCTGTCTCTACACCCCCCCCCCGCAGCTCTAGGATTATAAACATGTGCTACCAAGCCCAGCTTTATTTCTTTAACGTGGGTTTTGGGGGATTACACTCAGATCTTCATGTTTGGACAGCAAGCACTTTACCAACTAAGCTATCTTCTCAGCACTCTAAATTGCTGTTTATTTGGCTCTCTCCTCAACTTAGTCCTAAACTGAGTATGCTGCCTATATCTTGGAATCCCAGCTAATATAATAGTAAGGGGATCGGAGAGAGAAGAAGGAGGAGAAGAGAGGGAGAGGAGAGGATCTTACCCAGCAGATAGATGGGCTGGGAGATGAAGAAGACAGGCCCTGAAAATGAAAACCAACTGGCAAACACCTAGGTATTAGCTAAGAAAAAAAACACCTTAGAGAAAAATTTAGGAAGAGCTAGCAATAAAGTTGAAGGTAGGTACACTCCACGGTCCAGGTACACCACTGCTACAAATTCACAAAGTCCATGGCCTGGGAAGCAGGTACGAAGAGTTTCACAACAGAATTGTGCAGCAAAAATGTTAGACAATCTAAACCCTCAGTATTCATATTCACACAGTGAAAAAACTAGATCAGACCATAAGATCAGTGTCTGTACAAATGGCTCCCACAAGTGCAATTCAAGGAAAAAAAGTAATTTTCAAGAAAGAGGCTAAAAACATGCAAAGCAGACCATGCATTGCTTAGAAGTGCACAAATGTAGTAAGATACTGTAGGAACGGCGGCACAGGATATGCACCAAATTGGAGATCATGTTTATCTATGACAGAAATGGGGACAGGACAAGAAAGGCATCTCTAAGGGGCTTAACTATTCATATGTGATCGACTGATTGATTGATTGACTGACTGACTGACTGACTGACTGACTGATTGATTGGATTCACTGATCTTTTTGTCTCATATGCAGCACAGGCTAGCCTCAAATTCATAATTCTCTTGCCTCAGGCTCCTAAATGCTGGGATTCTAGGCAGATACCACACACCCAATAGTAGTGTTTTTATTTCTTGCACTACATAATTAGTACTTAGGCTATTGTTATTCCTTTTACCTTCTGTATGTCTTAAATATTTCATAATTATTTTTTAAAAAGGAAGGAGAGGCAATACCTCTGGAAGTTTATAAAAAAAATAAAGATCCCTGTTGCCAGAATTTGACCCACTTCTTATACTTTTGACACTCAAAACAGCTCAGTCCATCCCAGGTTTCTGGGCTTCTCTGCAGTCAAGTTTCATTTGGTGGCAAAGCAGTTTCCACGTGCCAAATCCCAACCTCGAAAATGTCAGAAGCTCCACTGGGAAGTGTGCCAAGAAAGCAATTAAGAGAATAGGTTTCCTATTAGGAGACATTACAGGAATCCCCGGCAAGTTCAGGGTGTGCTGATGGGTCCTTTAGGGGCCACAGAGCCTGGCATCAAGAGCATGCACCAAAGTACAAGAAATCCTTCAGGGCAAAAGAAAGGAACAGGCAGTTGTCTCCCTGCCTCTCTGAGAGACTGACAAGGTGCACCGGAGGATAGCTGGAAGAGGCACAGCAGACCTTGCCCAAAGAGGTCATCACCCTGAACGAATTCTCCTAGGATGCCCAAAGCTGTGCTCTCAAAGTCCTCTTCACAGCAAAACCCCGTCAAGTATATCTTCTCACTTACCATGTCAGAAATGAGGGATTCCCCCTGCAGAGACTGAAGTCTCAAGGCCAAGGATCATCTGAACAGTTGGTCAGAGTCAAGGACAGAGGGTCCAAGTCTCTATATCCTGCCTGGGACTGTGGAAGGATGAAGATGGGACTTGAGATGCAAATCAAACCTCGCCAACCTCCAATCATTCGCCAAGATGATCTTCTCCCCATTTTTCTAAAATCAGTGTTCCCAGGAGATTCTCTTAATTTGCATCACCTAGTCTTGTCCTTTCTGAACAAACCACTCTCCTTTAGAGACAAACAATTCTGTTTTGTTGTGTTTTTTCCACTTTGGAACACCTCCTATCTTCCTTAACAACATTGTTGTCAGTTCTTGGAATGTGATTTACAGTACTGATCATAGCCCAGGAGAACAAAACAGTGAAAAGACTTCCCAGCTAAGCACCAAAGGCAGAGTGAGTAGGACATAGCCTACAGGCCCTGGGGTAGGCAGGAAAGGGCAAGACATGGGTTTGCTCTGTTCTGTGCTTAGCAATCTCCTGCTTGGGAGCAGTGAACATTTCTTTGTAACCTTCTCACAGCTGTTGTGGGTGGGTTGGGGGGACACAGTGGCATCTGAAGGGCCTGAAGGGAGACTCGCTCTTCTGAGATTTGTTGCCAGGGTTGTAGACTTAAGGGCTGACTCACCCAAGGAGGGTTGGGTACAAGCCAAGGAGCAATGGAAAGACTCTAGGGTCACACACTCAGCCCTTGACTGTGCCAGCTCGGCCTTCTGGGGACTTGCCAGAGCTCACTAGGCAGGCACAGCTTGACTCAGGGAGTTAAAACTATTTTGCAATTATCCAGGCTTTTTCTCCACTGGGATAAGGATGTATTTTCCTCCCGAAGATGCATCACAAAGCACTATTCTTGCCTCTCAAAAGCCAGAGAGGTTAGAAAATTGCCCCTTCTCTACAAAGCTTAGACACATATGCATAGGTTCATCTGCTCTGGAAAACAGCTTTCCTGGTAGCTGCTATCTGTGTCACCTTGGCTGGAGCTCTCTTGAGGCTCCGGGTACCATTGCCCAGGGGAACCCAGCCTCTTCTGCCCCCTCCTTCATTTACTTACCCCCAAACCCGCACACAGGGCCTTTACCTTAGAAAGATTCTATTGGTTATTGCTGTAATGGAAACTTGAGAGAAAACAAAAATAACTACCCCAAGAATGTGGCCGTGCTATGGGAAATTTTACAAAGATCTTGGAGTTTCTGACTAGGTTTAAACATCAGTCTGAACCCTTCAATGTCCTTTCCAGGGCCCCTGTTAGCTTTTAGGGACTTGTAGGCTCTTCTGACTGGTCCTTCCTTTTTCTAGAACCCTTCGTCAAATGTTGAAGCTTTGTTCAACCCTCTTCTCTGTTCTCATCCACAAACCTGAAGTAGAGCTCAAGGTCCTCAAGAAATTCTTTCCCCATGGCCCTGCTCTGTCAGAAAGTTAAAAAAAAAAAAAAAAAAAAAAAAAAAAAAAAAAAAAAAAAAAAAAAAAAAAAAAAGCACAAAAGCACCTCCATTTCTGAACACAAACTGGAGCCAGATGTGTGAAGCAGGAGGCACCCTAAAGGAGCATTCAATATACCTTTCCTACTCTGCAGATAGGAAATGAGATCCAAGAGATGATCTCAGATTCTGGGCCAATGCAGGTTTTTGAATGTTCTTTAAAATGTATGGGACCCATCCCCTTGCCTGCATTGTCAGAACAACACAAAACTAGAAAGAGGTAAATATTCTCCCAACAGAATGAATCTTCCCCTTAGGAAACAGGGTTTTCTCCTCTAAGTCCTGAATGATGAATCCTGCATAATGGCCTGTCCTCGTGGTTCATCCCTCTCACCAATTACAGCCCAGGAGTCCTCTATAAGCACCCCCCCCCCGAGGCTGTGCCAGCTCTCTTCTACTGAAAGACTTACACCTGGTCATTCCGTCTATGGCTCACAACCATCTAGACCCAGTTCTCTTTCTTAGCATTACCTGGGTTTCTTCTTCACCCTTAGTGAAGACTCTTATGTTGCTGTCCCTTTGCTTTTCAGCCTAGCTCTGCCTCCTGCTCACCTGCACAAGGTGGGTCACGGTTGCCATTGCCACTATTGTCTCCATCACCCCACTGTGGTGTGGCGAATGTGCCCATGGATGAGATACAATGACAGAAGCAAAACACAAGTTTTAAATACTTTGGACTTTATTAGGAATAGGCTGCTGTCACTTCAGCAGCCAACTCCCATGTATACACAGTATACACACTCAGCCCATTCCCAGACACTCCCATCCTTCTGCAGTATAAGAAATGCAAAAGAAGCAAGCCCAAAGGGGAAGGGGCTCTATCAACAATACTGCCTAGAGTCTCCAGGAGCTGATTTCCCAGCTGGGGGCAGGGGGCTCTCAGCTCCTTCCAGCTCCATCCCGAACATGATGAGGTCCATAAGAGGGTGTTTGGGTCTAAATCCTCCAGTCAGTGCACATGATGGGCAAAGAAGGCTAGGGGATCCCGAGCCAAAACCTTACTGGTTCATGCCCCACTGAAGAAGTTCCTGGACCACCCCCCAAATGATGTTCTCCATAGACATGAGATATCACTTTAACTCTTTAATCCATCACCAAAAACCTGTGCCTTGAGTCTCATCTCTTCTCAGCCCTGGAGAGCACAAGTAGACAGAAAATGTTCAAAGATAAGACAAACTTTCTAAGCTGTCTTGGTCATACTTCTTTTAAAAAGAAGAAATATTAAAACAAAACCAAAAACATTGTGACAGAAAAGAGCGTGGAGACCTGGCTAGCATGTTTCAGGAACAACAGTGGCCATCCTTCCTTGAAATGACTTCTAAAACAACTGACAGCAAACACCAGTCTGCTAAGAACCAGTCATCTCAGTGAGGGCACCTCCCTTCCCACATACCCTTTCCCCTGACCATTCTGCACAGCCCCGTACCCCCATCTACCCACAGGGAGAGAATGCACCAAGCACAGAGTTCCATGCTGTTGTCAGCTGGCAAGGCTGCCCTTCTGCTGAGGTGTTGGGGTCCTTTTGTCTCTATTAGCCTTAAAGTGATCACTGCCACCTCCTCCTCATGCCACCCTTTAAGGGTGACTGCAGCCTAGCCTCAGAGAGCTCCATGCCCTTCACCAAGGTCCAAGGAGCTCTGTCCAAGGTCTCCAGCCCAGAAGATGGACCAGAGTTAGAACAATACTCAAGAGGCTAAACAGGCCACTTGTCAGTATGCAGATTTTGACTACAAGGAAAAGCCACATAAAAGGGCTGGCCTGTTTTCCACAATGAAGACAGGGGCTTTGGTCTTATCTCCATGAAGTTCTCTACTGAGGTCCTGGAATCATTGTCTACAATTTAAAGATGTCCTATATGAACTGAAGCATCTGGACCTTCAAGAAATACCCTTCCTGGCCAAAAGATCTGTAATTTCAAAATATCTCCCCACTTGGAGCTATAAGAGACACCTGGATTTCTAGTTCACTGACATATCGACATGACAGATAGATGGGTCTCCAAAGTTCCTACTGGTGGCTGACAAGGGTCATTGATTCTTGGCGTTTCCTGAAACCTGAATGCAAGGAACCTGAAGAGGAAAACACCCCACACCACTCCATCTTCATATTTGGAGCCCCAACAGGTAGCTAACTGTGAGGGATAGGAAGTCATACACCACATACTCCTCTCAATGGCTAGGCAGATGCATCTATGAAGATGATAACTTGGTGTGGTAGAAGCACCAGGTCACTTCTGTCTTAGCATAATGTGAGGTAGAAAACAGTGAACCCCATTTACGAACTGGAAAGGTGAAGGCCTAGAGATGCAATGTGGCATGCCCTCAGGAAACAGCAGGAGCTGCTGGGGAGGAGGGCTGACTTACAGGCACCTGGTGTCCAGTACATCATCCTCCCTGATACCCCCACTCTCCTTTCAGTGAGTTCAGGGCTGTTGTCACTTTGGAGGCTCCCTGGGGCAATACAGTGTCTTCAGCATCAGCCTCGTTTGTACATTCCTCTCAAGATGAAAAAGACATCAAAACTGGAGTCTCCTTTCTCCCATCACATGGTGACATTCTCCAAAGCCAGGTCCCACAGTTCGATGCCTACCTACCCACCCTAGCCCTAGTGAGAACAGAACCTTCTAGAACATCTCTCCTCATGTTCCCTGCTTGACCCACCAAATCATCACCCCTTTTAAGTGACAGCATGTTTGCAATAGTTGTTCCCTCCTATAAAAATGGGTTCCCTATGGATTTTTTCTGGATGCCTACAAAGCATCAGAGGACACTTCAGTGACTGCCTCCAGCTGGTCTAATGCCCTGGCCATCAGGCTTACATAGGCTGGTTCTTAAGGGGGGCCAAGATAGAAGACCAGGGAACTCTCTGTACACATCCATCTCTTCCCAAATGGGGATCCTGGTTCAGTTGCACCCAAATGAACTTGATCTCATTCTCCCTTTGGCTTCTAGAAACCCCTGCACAATTTTGCTGTTAGGTCCACATCAGTCTAAAGGACACAAGGCTGAAAGCACCATGAAACCCTTGCCTTGTTCAGGGATGGCTTGGAGTTCTTGGGGTCACCTGAAGGTGCCAAGCTGCCAGGCCATGACTCTTCCAGTAGCCTGTGGCCTCCATTATGGGGGCCAAGGTCCCTGAAGTTCTGCCTGGAAGGCACCCAACTTCCAGGTTCCTCAGAAATTATTTCAACACCTTCTGCCCAGCACCCATTTGCCACCGCCTCTCTCCACAAATGGGCCCCCAAGAAACAGGGCATGAGGTAGACTGTGCATTAGTTAGCTTCCCTCTGCCCAGTCCAGGGAGGAAGGAACCTCTCTGCCCCAGACCCATGGTCCTTGTTCTGGGTTGACACCGTGGCACAGGCCACTGGCTGCTGTCCTCTGCTCCAGCTGACCAGAGCACCAGCACAACAATGGGAAGAGAATAAGGGGATGAAAGAGATAGCCCCCTTCAGCAGTGCCTCAAGACACAGAAGTCCAGTTCCTGGGGCTTGCGGCGTAGGTCACACTTGTCCCGAGCCAGCAGCCGACTTCCGTGGCCCACACACTTGAGTGGACGCCTCTTAAATCCTCGGCCACAGCTCTTGGAACAGGGGGACCAGGTCCCGATCTCCCAGGTTGGACAGGGTTCCCCGCAGGCTCGTTTCTCCACTGGCCGATGGGCTGCATCACAGGCAGAAGCCCCGCGCTGCCCCGGGGAGGCCCTGCAGTCCACAGCTCGCTTCTGCAGGCCACTGCCACAGCTCACAGAGCAAGGCCCCCAACCGCCTGCCACCCAGCGTGCGGGTGGCCTGTTGTCTGGCTGCTCCACTTGGTTGGAGAGGCTGAGGACACTGTTGTGAAGCACAGACGGACCCCGAGGGTCCTTGGGGTAGGAGGACTTGTCCTCCCGAGGCTCTTTGGGCAGGTAGAATGAGTAGCGGACCCGGGGTGGTGTCATCTTCCCCACGGAGAGTACCTCCACGGTCAGCGGTTCCAGGATGGGCCGAGAAGCCTGCAGGCTTTCCACCGCAGTGCCTGTGCCACTATACCGCAGCAGGCTGCCCTTCACCACCAGGTCCCGCTCTACGGCTGACACCACAAAATGCCCGTTAAGCAAGTATTTGCCTTGGCTATTCTTCAGGGCCAGGTAGTTGTCATCCCCAATGAGCCCCTTGTAGCCACGCTGGCGGATGTCAATGCTCGAGGCACCTGCAGGGATGGCCACCACAAAATTGTAGCCGTGCCTGAAAGAAAGGGATTGTAGTTAGACAGCCGCTTGGGCCTCTATCACTTGCAAAGTTAGTAACTAATTGCCAATTTGGGGTGGGTCACAAAAACCATTGCAGAGTGCAAGTCTGCTTAATCACCACATCCAGGGTTCAGCAGAGGAACAAAATTGAAAACTAGAGCTTGAGCTAAAGCTCAAGGCCTGGTGGGGAGGACCTTATGATCCTTTCTCCTCAGTAACTATCAGTGAACTCCAATGCATGAGTAAAGCACAAATTTGGGGGTCAGAGAGAACCACTCCCCCTTACCATCCTGTTGATCTTTGATAAGTCTCCAGATTTCTAAGCCTCTATTTCCTCACCCATAAAAATGGGTCTCATAACCACACATACCACACGGAACTGTGAGAATGGTTAAAGAAACCACAGTATATAGATCATAGAGCATACTGCCTTAGCACATAGAGAACTCAATAGGAATGAGCCCTAAGGAGCAGGGCAGGAAGGAAGGAAGTGTACAGTGCTCAAGTCCAAGGTTAGTTACTCAGTGTAGTCAGAGTAGTGGCCTTGGAGTCAGGGTTAGAGATTGGCCTTGACTCAGATACCAATTCCCTTTAAGGAAGTCAGTTAGCTGGTCTGGGTTCCTGCATCCTTGTCTACACAGAGTTAAGCTAGATGGTTTTTTGGGCTCCTTCCAGCTCTCACAGTCGGTGAAAGAAACATTTGTCATTTAACCTAGGTTGAGAATAGGAGTGTACCTCTCTAACTCCCCATGTGGGCACCCTGCTGCATGTCCTTGGGAAGGGCTGCTTCTAACACCTGCATCTGTAAGAACTGAGTTCTGAGAAAAAGAGCTGAAGGTCCTCCCCATGTATCACCCTCTAGGGGCTAAATAGAGGATCCCATGTCCTGAGGAGACAGTCAGACTCCAGGAAGACCATCTGGCCTATCCATCATTGCCATCAGGATTCATGAATTTTCAGGCCAGCCATGTGCCCTGTGCACAACTGAGACCTCTAGTGCTCTGCCTACTCCTGCTTCTTCCAGACATAGGTTAGGACTTCCAATGGAAGATGTGGTCAACTTCAGAGAGCTCCAGCTGGCAAGCTGTGGACACTGGAATTGGGACTAAAAGAGGCTTGTTATGGAGTATATTTCCTAGGAAGTGGAGACTCAGTCTCAGTCCCAGCCACTTGCTCATTTTCTTGGTGATTAATTCCCATTCTCCTCTCAATGTAATGCCCAAGGCCAGAGCCTCAGACCCAGCAAGAGTATAGTTAGTAGCTGAGGGCTGGAGAGATGGCCCAGCAGTCCTCTTGCAGAGAACCCAGGTTTGATTCCCAGCAGTCATGTGGCGGCTAACAGCCATCTGTTAACTCCAGTTCCAGGGAATCTGACACCCTCTTCTGACCTCCAAAGGCATTGCACAACACAAGTGTACCTACCCATATGCAAGCAATACACTCATACACATAAAATAAAAATAAGATATTTTTTTAAAAAGAGTATGGTGGCTGTCACATGCTACCTCACTTTCATCATGGACATGTACTGAACATTTATTATGCATCAGATATTGTACTAACCATTTTTTATTAACTTCCTTACTTCTCATAAGAGTGCATATGAGGTTCATATACAAGTGGATGTCAGGAACTCTGAAGATTAAATAACTTGCCCAAAGTCATACAGAAAGCAGGGAACTAACATTTGAGTACAAGTCAGTCCTACTCTAGAATTCTAGACCAATCCTAACAACACTGCCATCTCCCTGAGTCTCATCTCCTGTTGAGGTGTGCCCTCCTTGTGCATTCATCCTCATTTGCTGAATGGATGGATCGATCAATCGATTGATCGATGGATGCATGCACAGATGCATGGTGAATATCAGCCCAAGAAGCGTGGGGATGTCCTCCACCGTGATGGGATGCCCAGAATTTGACATTCACCCAAGATTTCAATACCTGGGGGGGGCAGCAATTCCACTCCCCCATTCCCTTTGGCTGCACCCTCCAGGGCCCAGAACTTACATAGGCTTTGTGAAGAGTCCTGTCACCCTCTTGCAGCTCTTATTGTCTCCCCCACACACCCCACATTTGTCAAACTTCTTCTTGGAGCCCAGGTTCCCGTCGCAGCCAGCCTTGATGCATTTGCCTTGGACACAGACCGAGGTGGAGTCAGGAGTACACAGTGTACCATCCACCACCTGCAGCACCCCGAGAGAAAGAGAAGAGAAGGGGGCCAGTTCATTCAGATGCTCTCCTGAAGACCTGGTCCTTGCTCTGGCCCCCTGCCCCTGCATACTCACCTTAGGTGCTAGCACATAGAAGTAGCCAGTGCCATTGGCTCGGCAGATGAGCTTGCATTTGTCCCGTGGTGACACACCAGAGTACTTGGGTACCCATGCCACAGCAAGGGTGAGCCGGTTGGTACTCTGGTTGTAGCCATTGAAAGCCTCACACTGCTCCTCCCGGAAGCTCTTGCCAGAGGCTGGACAGGAAGAAAGCACAAGCAGGAAGCTAAAAGGAGGAGCCAAGGGAGGCACAAAAGCCAACATCCCTCCCAGAGGTGTCCAGCCCCTCTCCAGAAATGTGATGCTCCTCCCTGTCTCAAAATGTCAAAGCAGCCTGACACCAAAAGATAAAAGACACAATAACATATCCCCCAAGAAATATGCCACCTTCTCCAGTAATCTAGCCTTGAGTTCCCCCTATAGCAGGTCTCCTAAAACATTTTCTTGGGTGCTGAAACCCTTCAGCAGTCTATTAAATCTATTATCACAATAATCTTGTTAAATGCATTAAGCAAATTGTATCATTTACAAGAATACCAATTATTTTGATAAGCAACTATTGATTTACTTTGAGACATACTTCACAGCTGCTGTGATTTTGGGGGTATGGATTATCATAACAGCATTTGGAACTTTCAACCACTTAAATATGCAAAAATATTCATGATTTCTATTGATGACAAAGTCACAGCTATTTATTTCTACTGATGAATTTTAGATGGAAAGGTTAATTAAAAAGAAAAGTACTAAATTTCTAATTGAAGGATGTATTGTTTTAGATAGAAGTATTAGTAAAAATAAAAATGTAAGTTTTCCCCACCAAGTTCATGAGCCCTTGATTCCTGCTTAGAAGATGGGCTTGTCAGTAATAAACTATAAAGACTTCTACAGCCCCATCCCTTGAGCCAATTGGCCTCCCAGTCTAAGCACCAAGAAGAAAACACCATTGTCAAAGTTGAATGACCAGAGGAAGGATCCCAAGGTGGGTCTGAATCCCCCTACTTCCAGACTGATCCTAGGGGTTGGAATCTGAATCACAACCTCTTTGTGGTCAACAGTGACCTCAAGGCTCACAGCCCTGCTGCCTCACCTGAGCTGGGGCAGGGCTCCAGGTTGCAAGACCGGTATTTCACCCGCACTCCTTCGCAGTACCTGCCACCATTGGCAGGAGTGGGATTGCTACACTGCCTCCGAGCCAGCTGCACACCCCCTCCACAGGTGCGTGAGCAGGGGCCATAAGGCTCCCACTTGGCCCAGGAGCCGTCCACCTGTGAGGAAGAGCAGGTTATACTCCAACAGGCTCAGGTGCCACATCTAGCCCCCACCTACAGAAGCTGCTGGTACAGCCTCCAAGTTCCCATCCCATACCACTGGAATGAAGTCCACTTTGTATCAGGAGATTAAAAAAATGATAAGCAAACAATCTGTATGTGCAAGACCCACCCAGCACTTAAACTGATTCACCAGCCAACTGCTCCCAGTTACAAATGAGAGTGCTGGGGAGAAGCATCTTTGAGCCACGAGGTGAAGCAGCCTGCCTCTGCCCTTTACATAAGAGTGAACTTGAGGTGGTGGCCGAACCTCTTTAGGTTTCACATCACAAAATGGGCCAGAAATACTCGGTCTGAGTTTGAATGGGATACTTAAATCAGGTGGTATGTAGGACAGCCTCTGGCCCGCCTCCATGAAGGAGTTCAAAGTCTCTCCTTATGTGTAGACTGTGGATCTGAAAGAGTCTCCAAAGCTTCAGAGGTGCAGTCAGAGCCTTGCCACTATACAACGGTGCCATGGCTATTTGAACATTTTTATGTTTAAATCTTCTGTCATTCAGACTTTTCACCCAACCAAACTGATTTTGACCTCAATTGGGAGCTGCATTTGAAAAAGCTTAAAGCATCCCTAGCACCAGCAGTACCAACATTTGTGTTCAGAGGACATCTAGGTAAGAACAGATTAATGAAGCAACCGAAAGTGCTGTCCGACTTTGGGATAAATTACACAGAGAGGTTGTTGTGGCTGTTGTTTTTTCATTTATATAAGACAGTAGACAAGGGATAGAAAATGTATAATCTTCATTATGTTCTTTGTAGGATGACAGTAAAATGCCTTCCCACCCCTTGAATGTAGATCAGTTGGGCATAGAGAAGCAGTCAGCAGTCACAGAGAATCCATAAAGTAGTTAACCTACATGGACCTACACAGGAACTATTTGCATGAGGTATAAACACTTTAATATTACATATATGTGTGCTTGTGTGCATATATATCCAACATTTTTAATATTTTTATTATTTTTTTATTTGTATGAGTATATTGCCTGCATGTGTGTAAGTGCACCTGGTCATACAATGCCCATAGGAGTCAGATCCCCTGGAACTGGAGTTACAGACAGTTGTTAGGTGCCATGTGGGTGCTGGGAACTGAACCCCGCAAGAGCAGCCAGTGCTCTTAACTGCTGAGCCATCTCTCCAGCCCCTCAACATATTTTGTACTAATGTGATAACAGCAGTGGAATGAACTACCTTATAAATGATTTTTTTTGTATTTATTTTGTGGGGCCATGGCACATGTATGGAAGTCAGAGGGACAACTAGTGGGAATTTTTTTAGTGTAAATATCCAAGCATATCCCAAATGACTTGCCATTTGGGAACCTTTTCTATCAACATGTCTTCAATTTTTTTATTTTTTTATGAAAATTTCCTTGTCTTTCTCTGCATCCTCTCAAACCAGGAGTCTACCTCTCTCCCTCCTTTCACATCCTGAGACAGTCCTCTCTGCATCTGAGCTCAGAGGCCTGCATATGGGTTTTATCCCCATAACACCTCAAAGATGCTCTCTCAAAAGTCAGCAATGACCATCTGAAGAATGAGTGGCTCTCTCATTCTTTTGGCCTTTTTACCTCCAATTTCTTCTCAGTACTTAGTGCTGTTGTCTGCAGCTTCTGAGACAAGGCTATTTGATTTTTTATCTGATACTTTCCCCACTTATTTGTACAGAAATACTCACTGAGTACCTGTCCTTCATTCATTCATTCACTAAATATTTTCTGAGTCCCTACTGCACAACCGACACCAGGTACAGCAAGTCCTTGCCCTCAAAGTCACTACATCCCAGTGGGGAAAACAGAAACATTTTAAAAGACATTAAAAACAAGCCAGATCTTGTGTGTATCTGCTAGTGTTAAAACTAGTTGGGAGTAATGATGATAGGGACCTTCATGAAGTAGACTGCTCTGTATACTAGGGTTCTGGGCTCTCATTCATGCACTTGCCAAAAGGAAGTGTGGACATGATCCAGGCAGATATCAGGAAAAGAGGCTTCCAAGCAGAAGGAGCAAGTGATGTGGCTGAAGGAAGATGAGGGCTCCAGGGTCATTGCAGCAGAATGACCAGGAGGCCAGAAGCAAGCAGCAAAAGTAGAAACTAATTTGGCTCCCTCCAAGCCAAGTGCAGAGCCCCTGAAAGCTTCCAAGCAGAAAAGCGGCAGAGCCTAACTTCCATTTTTAAAGGATCCCTCTGGCTGCTCTGTTCGTGACAGTCTATAAGAAGTCAGATCAGAAGCAGAGAGACAGATGTGGAAAGGCTGCCAAATTCCAAGGAAGAGGGAATGTGGTCTGCAAGGGTTTGACAGCAAGGAAGTGGTGAGAAATGAGGTTCTGGGTCTATTTGGAATACAGGGTCAATAGGAATTGGTAAGATATCAGATGTTAAGTATATGAGAGAAAATGGATTTTGGCATAGGCAAGTGGAAGGTGCAGTTGCCAAAGCAGGTTTAAGGGATGGGATGAGGAGCCCAGTTTCACAGCTGCCATGTTTAAGATGTTTATCAGGTGTCCAAATGGACTTGCCAAGACTCACTTAAACATATGAGCGGGAGATGTGTATGCATGTCTAGCATACACAAGACCCTAGATTCCATCTCCTGCACTGGGATGGGGTTGGGACAGGGAGTCTATAGTTCAAGAAAGAGGTATGGGTTAAAGAAACAAACTTGGGGGGCTGGAGAGATGGCTCAACGGTTAAGAGTACTGACTGCTCTTGCAGAGGTCTGGGGTTCAATTCTCAGCACCCACATGGCAGCTATGAACCATCCTTAACTCCAGTTCCAGGGAAATCAGATGCCCTCTTCTGACCTCCATGGCATTGCATGACACGGGTGCACTCACGTACATGCAGGTGATACACTCATGCACGTAAGATAAAAATATTAAATAAAATAAATTTAAAAAGAAACAAACTTGGAAATCTTCAACCTATAGAGTGTATGTAAAGTCACCATCTAGATGAGTCACCCAAGAGATTGTATGTGGGCAGGCCTGAATCTGGAGCACTGAAAATGAGACACCAAGAAAACAGCAATAAAGGAGGTTAAGAGGAGCAGCCAGTGTTGAAGAAGGAGAAACTGTGAGACAGTAGAGGATGCCTTGAGCCCCACAGAGACAGGGTTCCCAGATGAGAGTGAATGAGCTAAGAGGGGTACTGGTGAGATGGTCAGTGGGTGAAGTGCTTGCCATGCAAACATGACATCTGAGTTGGAGCTCCTAAATACAGACTCAGACATGGTGACACATACTTGCAATCTTGGGGCTAGGGAGGCAGTGAAAGACCCTGTCTTAAAATTAAAAAAAAAAAAAAAAGGTGGATGCTCCTAAGGAATAACACCTGAAGCTGATGTCACACACATGCGCACGCGTGCACACACACACACACACACACACACACACACGCACAGTGCTATAGCAGGTAGGCCATGTGACGAATGGCAATCCATCCAGACTTTGGCAACAGAGGCCCCTTGGTGGCTGTATGAGTTATTTTCATCATTGCTGTGACTGAATACAAGATGAGAAGCAACTTCAGGGAGGAAGGATTTATTTTGGCTCACAGATTGAGGGTACAGTCTATCACCACAGGGAGGACATAGCAGCAGCTGCAGCCCAAAGCTGAGATGTCAGGAGAATGAGGCTGCTTGCTCACATCTCAGCAAACCAACCTTCCAAACCATCATGACGAGCTAGGGACCAAGTGTTCATATACATGAGCCTATGGGGAAAATGGCTTATATCCAAACCATAATTGTGGCCTCAATAAGAGTCATTAAACAAATGGAGAAGAGCAAAAACCCAACTAGGATAAGTACTAGGGAGAAATGGGAAGACAAGTATTGTAGAGAAAATGCTTTACAACTCATTCAAGGGCCTTTACTTGTAAAGAGAGTCAGAGAAACAGTGATATTTGGATATGGAGTTACGAGAAGTTTTGTTTAAGAGAGAAGAAATTACTGAAGGTTTGCATCCTGATAGAGTGATTCAACTCAAGAGAGAGGAAAACTGATGGTGCAGAGGAGGAGAATTGATAAGTGATGTTCTTGACTAGGCAAGAGAAATATGCAAAGCACAAATGTGGCCTCTGTCAGAACTCAGACAGTTATCTACTGAGGTGGTGAGTGTGGCTGCCTAGAAGCAGGTCAGATAGTTGACACTATCTGAAGAGGGACTGGTGAATATATTCTTCTGGACCTCTGACTGCTTCTTTTTTCTTCATGAAAAAATTATTTTTGATATGCTTTGGATGTGGTTTGTCTCCCAGGAGTTCATGTGCTAGAAGCTTGGTCCCCAGTATAGCAGTACTAAGTAATGGGACTTCCATTAAGAGGTGAGGTATTGCCAGGTGTGATAGTATACACCTTTAATCTCAGCACTTGGAAGGCAAAGGCAGGGAGAGCTTTGTGAGTTTGAAGCCATCCTGGCCTATGTAGTGGGCTGGCTGGCCCCTCCCACATTCTGGCTTCCTGTCCCACCATACAGCCTCTCCTTCTTGCATATATTCCAAACATGAAACCCTCTACCATGAGGTGGCACAGCCAGGGAAGGCCTCAGTAGAGCCTACATTGTAAAATTTGGACTTTTAGCCTACAAAACTGTAAGTGAAATAAATCTCTTTTCTTTATAAGTTATCTAGCCTCATGCTGGGCATGGTGACTCACACCCGTAATCCCAGGACTTAGGAGGCCTAGGCAGGTGGATTGCTATGAGTTAGACGCCAACCTCAGCTACAGAGTAAGTTTCAGGCTAGCCTGGGATACAAAACAAAAAAGTTGCCCAGCCTTTGGTATTTCACTATAGGACTAGAAAATGAACTAATACACAAATGAGAATTAAAATTAGGGAAAAGGCATTTGGAATGTGAAGAGGGAAGAGAAGGTATGAACTGATCATTTTAGGGGGTTGGGAGAATGCATGAACTAGCAAAATTCAGTGTATGAATCTGGACCAACATTACAGGCCCACTGAGTTTTTAGAGGTTGTTGATTTAAAAACTGAGACCAGTGAGCACAATTGCACATTTTTCTCCAGCTACATGCACCTGTGCAGGCACACGTGAGTAGGAGAGTGAATTGAACTGAACCAAGGTGGTGGATAATCCAAGAGATAACGATAGAGACAGGAGCGAAGGTGTCAAGAGTGATTTTAACACTGGACCACAGGCTCTCAGCTCAACAGGGAAGAAGTGATAAGAAGGAAAGATGGAAGGGTAGTTGTATCCATGGACTATAGGCCCAGATTCCAGAACTATGGAAAAGCTGGAAGGAATAAGCCGGGAAGATGGGACACAGAGGTCAGAGTATTTCTATGAGCCTGGGCTCACTGAAGACTCCAATAAGTGATGGCATGTTTGGGCCTTGGCTCATCAGGGTAACGTCCTACATGAAGGAGCAGCTTTCATTTCACACGGTGGTGAAGTGACTGTTCAGAAAAGGGATTGAGATTATAGTGGAAAGACTGTGTATCCCAGACAACATTTCCTATACCTAACATCCTCTGGGCTTCTCTTCCCAAGGGAAGGAGCTGGCCATGACTCTCTTGTCTCAGAACCTTCTAGTCTGAACCCATCAGCCTAGTCATCAAGCTGACTGAAATCCTGCCCCTAAACTGCCTTCTGAAAGATATATCTAAAGGACACCACAGTTACTAACCTTCACTCAGACCACCTTCCGGTCTTGCCACATCTCCACATTTGCAATCCTACTGCCCCTCAGAGCTCTCTTCAATTCCACCTCCTCCTCAAAGATTTCTTTATCTTCTTTGATCATCATTGATCTCTCACCCTCTGCTCTTCAATGATATGCCCTTCTGTCCTAACACAAAACGCACACTTCCCTGTCTTATACCCAAGCAACATTTCTTGCTTCCTCACTAAACTGTGAGCTCTCTGAGGCACAGGTTGTATTTTATTTTGTTTTCTGACCACAACTGTTTCTTAAATAAGTTTCTGAACTCAGTAGGTTGTAACCTAGTACATGTTGCAAGTTTCGTTAAATGCATGTTCCAAGGTCACAGGAAAAGATTTTAAGAAATAATTCTGTACCATACCCATTTCAGGAAAATGGATTAGGCATTTGGTCAACACTTATTTATAATAGTCTCTGTACACCTAAATCCCTGTACTGTGTCCTCCCCCAGCTGGAGACAAGGGTGTGAAAGGGGCAATCATCTCTGGGGTTAAGAATGGACTTCTTATTCCTGTCTGGAAAACATAGACATCTCTTTACTTCCTAACGTGAGGCCTAAAGAACATAAACTCTAAATTATACTCAGAAAATATTTAGGGCTCCATCGGTTCCATTTAATGTTTATCTGGAAGTAATAACTTTTGTTCAATTACATTTCATCTTAAAACAAAAAACAGTCACAACTGACTGAGTTCAGGATGTGTCCAGTCACTGAAGCGTGCCCAGGGCTTTGTTGCATTTCATTCCAAAGCCTTGTTCTCCTGGGTGATCCCAGCTCCCTAGATATGTAATCAGTTGATGAAAGAAGGAAAGATAGAATTCGAGAACAAGCCACTTATAACCTCAGGAGTTCAGCTCTGTGCCCAGAGCTCCTCCCCATAAAGGGAAGCCCAGGGCTTAAGGCTGAGCCCCAAGCCCCGCTCTCATGCTTGTAAGGTCTCATGACATTCTCTGGCCAATTATAGTGTTACTCTACTCTTAGGGTCAAAAAGGGGAAAGGGGGCTGGGGGCTCAGAAGGTAAATTGCCTGCTATACAAACATAAGAATCTGAGTTTAGACTCCCAGCACCTAGTTAAACCTAGACATGGTTCCCTCCTGTGACCCCAGTGCTTAAAGGATGGAAACAAGTAGATCCTGGAGGCTAACTCAGAAGGTCTACTTTCAGTGAGAGGCCCTTTATAAAAAATCTAGGTGGAGAAGAAATTGAGGAAAACATCCCATCGCCAGCTCTGGCATATGCACATAGACAAGCACACATGTGCATACAGTACATACACCACACACACACACACACACACACACACACACACACACAGAGGAGGAGGAAAGACAACCTGAAATGGAGGCATAGTATAGCAATGTGGCACACTCATGGTCACACAGTCACTTTATGACCAGCGGCTTCCAGAGGATACCAGGGCGGTGAAGGCCCAGGACTGCCCTTATCCCAACAAAGGGCTCCTGCACTCACCCGATACTTGTTAAGGTCGTGTCTCTCCACACAGGCCCCCTTGAGGCAGAACTTGCCCTCGCCACAGCTGGTACCATCTGCCCAGGGGAAATGGCGGGTCTGACACACCATCTGCCCCTTGGCCTTGCCAGTGCACCACAGCTTGGTACAGTACTGCATATATGGGCAAGGCTTGGAGCCCACCCCAAAGGCTAGCTCACACTGCTGGCTCAAAGTGTAGCTGGTGCCTGGCAGATCCTCAGGCAGGGAGATGGGCTTGCTGGGCTGATCCAGTAGGCAGTCACCTGCAAGGAACCAAGGACCATTGATGAGGACAAGCTGAGGAAGATGAGGCCTGGCCGGCCTGGAATCTAAATGGTAGCATGAAGCAGAGGGCAACTGGAACGGACCCCTGTGAGAGCCTGACTCTTTATCACCTTTTAGGTACAGAGGAGGTACATCTAAAGAGGTGGTGAACCCTGCCACCAATGACAACTGTGAAGTCCTTCCCAATCAGCCCTGCTCCTCTCTGACACCTGGCTTACCATGTCCGCTGTCCAGGAAGTCAGTGATGATGGCAGCACTGCAGGCTGACCAGGGATTGGCACGATCAATCTGGATGAGCGTTGGAGACATCATGTGGTTGGCTCGGAGCTTCCCAAACACCTCCTCACACACCTTCACATTGTCATGGGGCATGTTGAACACGTGGCCTGTGGGGTGAAAGGAGAGGACTCAGGAGGCAGGAGCAAAGGGCTGTGCATAACAGGCATGGGAGATTGCAGGAGGAAACTGGAGAAGCAGGAAAGCCTTGTGATGGTTTCAGGCTGGTTACTTGCATCTATCTGTGGAATGCTTTGGAAACATCCTGCAGACCTTATGCTGGTGTCTCCCATCCCCTCCATCAGGCTGAGAGCTCAGTGGGAACAGAAGTGTGTCTCCTTGTCTTTAACACTTTCTCCCCAACGTTCCCAAATGACAATCGGGCTGCAGCAATCAGAAAAAATAGAAGCCAATGCCAAGGCAGACTCTGGCTCAAAGAAAGGGTCTCTAAGGCTTCAGAACATGAGAAATAAAATACAAATATCTCCTCTCCCACCAGAGTGCCCAGTACAAACCACATCCATCCAAGTGTAACTTCCCTCCCCTCCAGCCTTACCCAGCTCATGGGCAGTGGTGAAGGCTGACGGAAGCCCATCGTCCTCGATGACAGAACAACTTCTCTTGGGATCACACATGGTGCCTACATCAGCCATGCCCAGGGTGTCACAGGTGGTAGCCCCGCATAGGTCCTGCCAGATGGAGGAGAAGCAAAGCCAGACTGAAGTTAGAAATAGCAACAGAAGGAGCTTGGAGGGAAGCAAGGGCATTCTATGGACACTGCAGCGCCTATCCAACCCAGCACCGTCCAGTGCTTCCTTGCTAAGAGCTTAGGGAGTTAGTTGTGGGCTGAGGGAAGTGGCCCAAGAAGTAAGCCCTGTGGCTCACTGGGAAGTCTGTGCCCAACCCCACCCAGGAAGGTACCATGGGAGGAAATTAGGAGGTACAAAATTAAACTACAAGGGCCACCACTTTATATAGAGATGGCCTTCTAAGTCAGAAAAATGGCTCAGAGGGGTTGAAGTTCTGATCATGGCTCCCCCAGGCACATGGGGGTAGAAGGCAACCACACTCCGCATCCAGAGTCAGCTCAGAGCAGTCTCTGTCTTTGTTGAGTGACTACTTTTTGGACAACCATGAATTAAGTTCAGATTCCCAGCCACAGGGTTGGCCAGCCAAGGATCCCACCAGACACTTGCCTTCCTTGAGCTGGCAGGAAGCAGAAAAAGGTGGATCCGAGCTACTGGAGCTACCAGAGCTCAAGGGGAACACAGGCTCAAGGCCTGCTAGGGAGAAAAGAGAAAGAGATCATCACCTACACAGGAAGGTCCCTTTTGTTTTTGTTTTTGTCTTTTTATCCAGAAACCTGATGTTGCAGAATCTAGGGCTCTCAGCAGCAGCACACTATAATAGAAAGTATTTCCAAGGGATGCTGAAGTACAAAACGAGACTCCTGGGATATAAATCTCAAAGAACTTATTCAGCACTATAGGTCATGGATGTGCTTAGACCTTAAGAACCCAGGAGTTGGAAACAGTATAAGACACTCCTGTGCACTGTTCCCCTGAAAAGATTAGATCAGTCACACTCGCATGTTCTTCGTTATATCACCACCTTTAGCACCTATAGGGATTTGGTCCTCACAGTGGTCTTAGGAGAAGATATATTATTATATCTATTTATCAAAGGTAGAAACTGAGACTCATGATCATAGGTAATCAGGACTATGATTCTCTCAGGGCTGACACCATGCATGCATTTCACATGCATCACCCCACCTAATCCTCATAACAGCCCACTGAGGTAATGACTAGTTATCACCTTCCACAGACAAAGAAGCTGATACTCAGAGAGATTCAAGTCATAGTGCAGATTTATGCTCTGAGGGTCTGTATGAATGTGGACTCAGATATCACAGCCAGTGGCCTAGCAACTCCTAAGCATGTACTGTGGCATTTTGTGGGTGCCAAGGGCTCAACGTGAGCACATATGCAGAACTTTATTCAATTTTGTTCCCTTCATGGCTGTGTGGCTGTATGAGTGTACACAAGTGCATATGCTAATCTGGGAGGAGGTGGGTGGCAGCAGAGTTAGTAAGGTCAGAAGGCATGGGAGGAAAGTGGTCATAGTACAGGAAATCAGCAAATTTTAATCCAAAGCATTGAAAAGTTTGCCACCTGAGCAGTCAAACTTGGCTTCCCGTGTGTCAGGTGATAGTCACAGCTCCTAATGAGTTAACAGTTCTGTCCAGAGAACCATGAGAGTGACCAGCCTGAACCCCAAGAGCCAGAGTCAGTGACAGGTGCTATACATGGCCTACCCTTGTTTGACTGCCTGTTTGAGCGATATAGCCCCTTCCACTTCCAGAAACCTTATAGGAGACCTCAAATCCCCTTCCTTATCCTTCCCAGTACCCTTCCCTTTTTTCAAAGACTTCCTCTCCCAAAAGTTTCTCCCCAGAGCTCTGAAAAACCTAAGAAACAACCACTGCTAGAGGAGCACAGACAAGCTTGGGGCAAAAAGGAAAAAGGAAGGTGTGGAGGGAAGCATAGCAATGGAAAGAGGGTAGTCTACGGTGCTATATGTCCCTGAACACTAGAGAACAGGATCCCAGTTGACAAAGGTGGCTGCTTGGAGTTTCTAGCCCTGTAGTTACAGCCTGTAGACAAGCATACAGGCTGAGTACATTTCTGTGGCTTCCAGGCTACCTGCACACTCATGCAAGAGAGAGGGGACACAGAAATAAGAACTAAGAGATTGGGCTAGAGAGATGGCTCCGTGGTTAAGAACAGTGACTGTCCTTGCAGGAGACCCAGGTTCGATTCCCAGCATCCATATGGTGGCTAACAATGATCAGTAACTCCAGTTCCAAGGGAATCCCAATACTCTCTTCTGACCTCCATGGGCATTGCACAACATGGGCATACTTACATACATGCAGGCAATACACTCATACACATGAAATAAAAATAAAAAGAACCAAGAGATCTAGATTCCAACTCTGGCCCATCACGAAGTGGGTACGTGTCTTTGGCCAAGTTTCTTTTCTGCTGGAGACCTCTGTTTGCTGCTCTGGGGAAGAACTAATTCTCAACTAGACTGTCCAACATCTCAAGCCTTTTTTCTACCCCCCACCCCAGTCCTGGATGCTCACAGCCCCCTCTGGCCCTGTGGGTTATAGCAGGAACACACAGAATGACCCACTTTTAGAAGGGAAAGAATCCTGCAGAGGCAGGCAGATCTCTGTGAGTTCAAGGCCAGTCTGGTGTACATAGTGAGTTCCAGGCCAGCTGGGGCTAGAGGCAGACCCTGTCTTGAAAAGACCAAAAAATAAAAATAAAAAAGGGAAAGAACCACTGTCTCTTATCCACTGACCCATGTTGACTAGTATAACTCACAGGGAAATGCAGGCACTCCTACCACTGCCAACATTTAGACTACCCTCATCCTGCTCCTCAGAAGTGACCAGACCAGAGGAGAGCAAGAGCTCACATAGGATCCTAGCTGCCCTGCAACAGCCTCTGCAACTAGGAGGTCCCTGCAACAATGTATCATCCTTCTTCTCCAGAGGGCAGGTCCTCTTTGGAGTGTAGACCAGCAGCTGCAGCCCCCTCCTAGCCAGGAGCAACCTATTCTGTCAAGAAACCCAGGCTTCATGGTTCAAACACAAAGAACAAGGAAATGCAGAAAAGTCCATGTGAGGAAAGGTGTAACAGTAGGTAGATGTCCCAAGACACCTGCGTCTTCAGGGTGGGAAGATGTGCTGCTGGGGTCATCAGTTCTGTCTCTTCACCCAATCAACAAGGCAACTGAAGAATCAAGGATTTAGAGCTTTGAATGCCCATAAGCACTGCACAGGGCTCAGTTGTACCTCATTTATGGCACAGAATGTCTTCTGAAATGAACTCAGAGGCACTCATGTTACCTTAACCTCTTAGCTCAGGCACTGGTCTCCAAAGCATGGAAACTGTCCTGTGTCTTTCTGCCTGGGAGATTCAGGCGTTCCCCAGCCCAGCCCCTACCTGGTTCACTATTTCTGGCAACTTGCTATTTATCTTATAGTCACAGCTGCTTTTCCAGAAGATCTAAGAATCATCTTAGCCAAGAACCTAATCTTCCTGGACTCTTCTTTCCTAACTCTTCTAGTTAGGATAGGAGATACAGTTAAATAAATAAGTAAGGCTGACACTTGGTGGTGGCCAGATCCCTGCTTGTCAGAATGATTCCCCACAAGCTGCCCTCCCAACAGACCTCCTTCCTACCTCCTCTGCTGTCTGCCAATGTGAGTACTGAGATGCTCTATGTTTCCTAGCAGTACACAAGAAAAGGGAAGCATAAAAATCAAGCACATTCATTTTTTTTGGGGGGGGGGCTTTTTGAGATAGGGTCTCCCTGTAGTCCCAGCTGTCCTAGAACTCACTATGTAGACCAGCTGGTCTTGAACTCACAGAGATCCACCTGCCTCTGCTGGGATTAAAGGCGTGTGCCACCACACCCAGCCGCACATTCATTTTTAATGTGGCAGGAATATATGCATTCTTAAGTAACTGATTTTCTGCTTACACTTAAGTTAGAGGCACAAGAGCCAAGGCATATCTTCATGGCCACATCCTAGTGTCCAGAACCATCACAGAACTCAGAATCAGCCTCTCATTTTGCAGATAAGGTAGGATTATGCACCCAAAGCTATGCTACTATTGAGTGAAGATTGAGGTCTTTGAGTCATAGCTTTTGACAATCCAGCCAACCCAAGCTCCTTGCTCCAAATTGTACCCTACTAGGAAAGACATCATGATCACCAGTAGAAAGCCACCTGACTTGTTCTCATCCAAATCTATGAAATGAATGTCACCATCATTTTCTTTCCTTGTCTATTACAAAATCCGTTTGTTCTCAGTCCCCAGGGGTAAGATGGCTTTGCTTTTCCAGAAGTGAAATCCAGCAGTCCAAGAGAAAAAGGTTGACAGTTCAGCCTGGAAAGTGGGTTACTTCTATTACCAGATCTGGGTGTCATTTCCAGATGTAAAAAAATACTATTATTGCAAAAATTAGGAATGATCAAAAGGACAACAAGAACAGAAGCCAAATCTTGAAGGAACAATCTCGAGAAATTATCATTTTAAGAGAAGGCACCTGTCAACTATAATGAGGACAATCGAGTACTTATTGAATTGCTACCATATGCCAGACACTGTAGCAAGAGTTTTACCTGGATTACTCATTTAATTCCCCTTCACAGAAGGTGTCATTACTAAGCCCTGTTTTATAGAAGAGACTGGATAAGGTAAATAACTAGGCCGGGATCACACAGAGAGCCTCGGGTTAGGCAGAGTGAAGGCTGGAATAGAAGTGCAGCTGCTGGGCTGGGCGTGTCCAGGACCCCTTTCTACTTCTGGAGTGCATCCACCCCAAGAATGAAGGGGTTGAAGAGGCTCAAGAGAGAATGATCACCCACCTTGTACTACCAGATTAAGATAGCACTGGTGACAGTGAGTGAGGAGAGTCCCAGGAGAGGGAGCTGGCTAGATTAAGTGCTAAGAGCAGCATCTGCTGAGGATGATTGAGCAAGCTCCTGGCACCTCGCCCCACACCTGCACTGACACACTGACCCTGTCCCTGCTGTGCACCCCTGTCTGCTGACTCCAGGGTGGATTAATGTGCTCCTTGATGGGGCCCCACCTTTCTCCAGGGC